AGGAGTTGAAACAAAATGTTGCAAGGAGAACACTTTCAACCTCAGTAGTGACGTCTCTGGTGGTCATTATCTACGTCGTTCTAGTAATTGTATGACCTAGGTGATAACAATTATCAACTAGTCGACATTTTGAGTGCACAACTTTACCACACTGCTCTAGAGAAGTACTTTAATTTTGTTTTCTGAATGTTGTAAACGAAGTCCTGTTCATTGGCATACAGCTCACAGGCACGAATAAATTTACGTAGAATCTTAATAGAGGGCGCTATGATACTCACATCATCGGCGTAACTTAACTTGTTGGCAAATGCATGCTCCAACTCGACATCCACAAAACTGGCTGTTTACTTCACTTAACTCGTCCATGCAAATATTATTAAAACTCTATTTGACACATTCAACCCAGTTTACATAAAAGTACCCCATCTAACGCAAGCAGTAATATTGGCCGCAATACTAGCTCAATAAGCGAATAATGTGGGCTGGAAATTTACGTTTTACAAGCTTATTGAAAGAAGTTCAATTTTGAACTTGTCGAACGCTTTAGATGCGTCAAAAAACGAATAATCCACTGCCAAGATAATTATAATAACGGATGATCTCCTTAAGAATCAGTATGCACAAGCCAGTATGTCAGAGTGTTCTTAAAAAAATCGAGTTGATTGTCCGTAGTCTAAGCGCACATTTCACATCGTTCAAACATAATATTCTTCAAACATAAGACATCACAGAGGTAATCACGATTGTACGATAATTATTTCTGCTCGTTATATCGCCTCTTTTTTTCTTGAAATAGGAGAATGTGACAATTTCCATCCCGCATGGGGTAATACCACTAGAATTGACAACAATTGAATGCTTAAGGTTTTCAGCAATAAGACCATCAACACCAGCTGACTTAGCAGGCAATAATTGGTCAATATTCGAAACCTCATTCACACGTTAAAAACACGTGTAATGTCATTACTAATATTGGAAAAGTGAATTAACACAGAACCCTATAGCTTCAAAGTGGCTTGCCCACATATCCGCAATTGTCTCTTCACCAGTTGCATCGCCAACCGTAGACGAAGGAACTGAATATGCATTGACGTAAAGCAAGTTTGAATTTTGATCTCGATGATTTCATGGTATCAAACACAGTCCGCTATACATTGGAGATACGCCACAACCAGAGACAGTCCCGCGCTAAACGATCATTCCTCCCTGGTACGTCCTAGGATTGTGGGTAAAGTGTGACATCATACCCACTATTGGTATGCAAATGTTACGCATACAAATCTCATAATCCTTGTATTAGCATATTTGTTCATATTTAACTTTGGACCAATCAAAACGCCTGCGACGTTTACAGACGTAATCATTATTTGAATCGGTACTGAAAATAAAGGCCATGGCTATACATAATATTAACACAAACAACGGCACGATGCAAACTAACAAAATAGATGCAGTGATCAATCCATGAAATCATACCATGCGCCCTACTAATATCGTCGACACTAGTGTCAAGCAATACAGTGACCGATATTACAAGTCCCGCCTGTTGACAAAATTCCTGGATCTCGTTGCCAAAGAACGACCGTGTACAGGGATCAGTATTCCAGTCCCTCATTACAAAGATATTTTGCGTGTCTACCTGTTGGGCACCCGGTAATCATGGGTCATCGAATGTGTTAATTCTAAATGCGGTACCCATGGACTTTCTCCATAAATTAAGGGCAATAGAAGCATTCTGGTGGTATCGACAGCTTTCACCCCAAAGGCATACAAGCATATATAGTGGATAAATATCCCATATTATCCTTAACAAGCCAGTGTTCCTGCAACAGACATATGTCATGTACACCACACACAGTGTAAACAAGAAGTCTGCTGGACTCAATCAATCTAATTTAAAAGTTACAAAGTTAATTCAAGACATAACGACAAACATAGCTCATTGGGGGGGATAATGTATAACAGCCAGTCATTGTTGTAACTCGATGTTTTCGTAATTCGAACAATTCAGCATCTCCAGCAAAGGAGTTCACCGCGCGGTTAAAAGTCATTAAGGCATGTGCAGGTTTAAACAAGAACACAAATCTAGGTTGTCCAGGAACCCGTATGTCTACATCAAAATAGGGATGGGGAAATGTTCAAAAGCGCTGTAAGTTTTGTAAACAGATGCTTCGCACCACCAAATGAAAACGCCTATTTTTTCTTTTGATGTTACTTACATGTTTTACTTTTTTTTGTTACCCATATATTTATTGCTAACAATAGATAGAAATGTGTATTTTCTAAAGATGTAATAATTGTCACTGTTATTGTAACTGTTGCATGGCATTCACCAGACCATTCTTATGTGTATATTGCCAATTTCTCTGTGTACTTATCCCAATATTGAAAAACTATTGTCTCTTCTCTCAACATTCCAACCTTGTATTATTCGTCGCTTAGCTATATACTTGTTACAAGCATTCAAAAGACGAGATAATTACAAGACAAGTTAAAAATATCTTAGTGATTTATTCATTCTTTACATGTAAATTGATTTATAAATATTATTTTCTTCTTTTTTGTGGTGTTGTAATTAGTAGTATGTGTTTCTTTTTCTCTGTAAAAACACCTCTACCTATGTATTTTTAAATAAAGTACGATGGGTAGCGGCCCAGTACTGAATAAAGATTGATTGATTCTTATGTGTACACAAAATAGCTGCATTGATTCCAGGCTGCTGTACGTGTTACTTGAAAGTAGCAATAATGTTTTTAATTTAATGGAAACTACACACATATAGTACGCATCGGGATTCGTTGTGGAATTTCCAGAGACCGCTGTTCCAACGTGAAACAATATTTACTGTTGAGAGACTGCCGCAAAGTTATAGAAAATGCCAAAACATATAGCATCAAAGTTCATCAAATTTAATGTATTTTCTGGGATGATTATAATTTGTCCAAAGACATAGAATTTGAAATAAGAAATATCCATGCACATATAACCTGGAATCCAAACCTCTTCGCCTAATTATAGGTAATACAAAGTACATATAAAGGTCAGACCTACTTAGAGAGCTGTGAGAAATACAAAAATAGAACGAAATAAGTATCTGTGCAAACTTGGTTATAGAATTATTAAACAAACAGAAGGTTTGTTCAAACTGCCTCTGGTGGATTAATTGGAATTAGCTGGTTTGGCTGGTTTTATAAATATTTAAAATTTCATATATAATATGTTGAAATACATCTTCGCCAGCAACCCTCGTTTGTTCGATTCGTGGCTGGAGGAATATGTTTACATTGATCTCGCGAAACCGTGCGGTTCAGACGACGGTCAAAATTAAGAAAATGACATAATTTGTACTTTTTGCACTAAACTCATCATACTAAAGTGTGTTTATCAATATTTTATTAGTTAATTAGTAGTTACCGTGACAACTCAGTTGTAGAATATATACGGCGCCGATTAAAGTCTTACTAAGTGCGCAGAAATATAACGATATTTTGTGTTGTTGTCATGGTGACTGAAAGAGGGAGGCATGCATAACGAATTTTAATTACTTTGTTTCGTGTGTTTTTCATCAAAGCGTTAATCGATAGCAATCGAGCCGTGACACAGGCAAGTTGTATGGATCAGTTTATCACATCAAAACATTCGGACGCGCGCCATCTAGACGCACTCTAGTTTGTCTTATACTGGAGATTTGTATAAGGTTTCACGGACAAATATGCTTAAATTATGAGACGTTTATGAATCAAAATTAAAAGAACATGGCATTTAAAATAAAATTTAAAATTTGTTTTAGGTGACTTGTCATTTAAATCGTTTTGAAGTGAACGTTTCAGTAACACCATGCTTCGCACAGTCGCTATCAACAGACACAAACCCCTGTAAACCTAGCATAGAAGTGTATGTAGTCCGTATTAGCGAAATGTTTCAAGATACCAAAATTGAAGCCGAATACAATTGGTATTGCACTCTATCGGTTTTGACGAACATATTGAAATGAGATGCCGGTCATATTGCAAATATATTTATATATTATTCATTTATTCAAAAAGTCACTTGTTTACCGCTTGTTGATCTTTCGTTAGGTATCTGATTAACTTGTGTCAGTCATAATACACAAATGACGTCATTAGATTATAACAGACGTTATGAGACGTTTATGAATCAAAATTAAAAGAACATGGCATTTAAAATAAAATTTAAAATTTGTTTTAGGTGACTTGTCATTTAAATCGTTTTGAAGTGAACGTTTCAGTAACACCATGCTTCGCACAGTCGCTATCAACAGACACAAACCCCTGTAAACCTAGCATAGAAGTGTATGTAGTCCGTATTAGCGAAATGTTTCAAGATACCAAAATTGAAGCCGAATACAATTGGTATTGCACTCTATCGGTTTTGACGAACATATTGAAATGAGATGCCGGTCATATTGCAAATATATTTATATATTATTCATTTATTCAAAAAGTCACTTGTTTACCGCTTGTTGATCTTTCGTTAGGTATCTGATTAACTTGTGTCAGTCATAATACACAAATGACGTCATTAGATTATAACAGACGTGATCATGCTTGTTCATTTCCAAAACAACTGGAACATATGTACGTAATTAAATACAAAAACGCTCTATATTGCTGACTATCAGCCTGAATTGTCACTGTAGTTTATCTTTGAACTGCTAGCAGGTAACTATTTTCTTCGTCACGGTATACGCTGTGGTTACGTGGTGCGGCGAGAGACAAAATATGTGCGAAACTCACAACATATGTTGGCAGTGTTGGTTACATATTCCAGGTCATCAGATCGGGGTCAATAAACTTTATAATTGATGTTCGAGACGAGTGGTCGACTCTCACTTTTGCATTTTTGAAACGGCATTGGTATGCAAATTTGAAAGTATACGTCACAACTCACGTGTATTATTATATTTCCGGCAGTTACGTGCAGGAGCAGACGCGTGTTTGCTGGCGTTTTCGCGTGATTCCTTAAAACCCCTGTATTGGACTATGCTTGCTATATGATTTAAATGATTATTACGCCAATTATGATGGCAGATATTTCGGGAAAAGGCACGAACGTGGGGTGAATGGAGTACTTGATACATCATAACAACAATGACCTCTGTATTGACGTCTTCTTCATCGGCAGCGTTGCATTCATCTGGCACGCGCACGGAGGCCACGGAGATATGGGAGCTTCGGGAGCCGAATAAGAGAAGTTCAAATGGGGGAGTTGTGAATCCTGTAGCGATACGTGAATATCCCGAAACCTCGCGTCGACTTCCTGGCATAACCGAAAGACCTAACCAATCAACAACAGCCGCTACTAAAGGGCACAAACAGCCGTTAGCATGGTGCGAATTTATAGTCAAACGTCCAAAAATTGCTTTTGGTGAGTACATTTGTACATGTACATGTACATTTCCAAAAAAGACGGCGTAGAGAGTAGTAAGCGATCGGTTTTAATATCATACCGGTGTCAGCATGATGGATTGCATTAGGGGCGCTATGCAAGGTAATTACTCCTACCCTACACAATGAATATTAACATTGAAGTTCTGCCTTACTCTTCAACTTCGTTGCACACTAAAATGAATGAAAAACATCGCTGTATCAAACCTAATCCTCTCTATAAAGCCCCAGGCTCACAATTGACAATCGTATCTTTATTTTGCGTGCGATAACGGTCAAGTAAGTGTTCAATGAATTCTCGGAACAGCCAGCACTATGGTAGATCATGTTAAAGTATTTGACCGGTTCGGTTTACCTACACGGAAACTGAATGTTTTGAAAACGACTCTTTATATTTGATTCTGACATCTAAGTATATGGCACAGCGAGGGGTTCAATGGATAAGCGAGGCTGGTTGTTCTTTCAACCAATTTTTAAATCATCGCATAAAATATTATTTTATCTGATGTTTATTTTTTTAATTAGTTTTTCTTAAGATTAATAATTATATATCTACCAGCGGAATTAGTCCCAATATATCATGGTCTAAATAAACCTTGTAAATATAATTAATTAATAATTATTGACAAAACATGCGTATTTTGTCTGCAGCCGTGTAGTGAGTGTTTTTGTTGGTGCTCTGTAAATATGCGAGTTCATTCTGAAATCACTGGTGTGTGAAATGACAGAACGATCCATTACAGCATAGAGGTTAAGATAGACAGACCGTTAATTCCACTGTATTATATAGCATTTATCCCAAAGAATTACAGACCGTAAAGTTGTATAAACAGCATCATTTTCATTATAAAAATGATAAATGAGCAATCTTGTATTTTTTATAACAATTTGACGACATTGCGGAAGATTTAATATCCAATTATTTTGGATACAATTATTGGGAAATTTTTCTACAAAGAAATACAAATTTAGCTGTAACTGAATTCGCCATTTTTAGAAATACGTCATTGGTGTCTGGTGCGTGTATCTCACTAATGCAATCTGTTGAAATAACAGCTGTGGCAGCAAATATCCCACCGCCTATACTATTTGTATACGTTCTTTGTCGTGCAATGCATGCATATATATGTGTATAAAATCGGCGCATTTATCCTATGTCATGCATTTATTTTTGTATTCTCAATGATTACGAATGGCAAAAAAACAATCACAGGACCAGCTAAATAAACAAAGAATTACAAAACATATTATATTTAATGCATACATGCAAAAGGCAAGGTTAAACAACATGCAGAAAAACGTATTACACCAAATTTTGATTTGAACTTGCGGAAAGAACTAATTATTGCCAAACATTACTTGGTAAATATAAAAACTTGGTCAACCAAATATATAATCAATTACAAACGTTTCAGTTTCAAATCTTGACACCAGAGGGCGCAGCTATTGTTGTCCGCTTGTAAATAATCGGACACTTGACACATGACACTTACCTTAGAATTGTCAGTGTAATTAGATACATTTGATGTTAAAATACAATCCGACATATCACTGATTTGCATGATTCAGTAATGTCATAATTTTCAATATCTCTATATACTATGTTATACCATTCATGTAAATCTGATTGGTTCGTGCAAGCAGATTGACCTTTTGACATGATTGATGATTGGCTATCGCAAATAAGCCAATATCTCACAATACTCAGATTGGTGGTTTTACACAATATTGTTTTGAATTATTAACAATTATATTAATTTAAACATTCCAAGTAAAAATGTATATGTAAGATCTTCGTTTCAAATTCCCCGAATCTTAACTTCTCCGTTCACATAAATTTGTTTCTCTAGTGAGCGATTCGTCAAAGATTATGAAATGACAACGGTTTAAAGTTAATTGGAAATTTTGTTACCAATACAAACCGTAAATATAGTGATAACATCAAAAATAAACACCCAACCTTCCTATATAATGAGCATTTCACTACAGAACGAAACGACCACTCGGGGCCCAGTCACAATACAAATGACGGTTACAGTGAGGGTAAAGTATCAATATTACAATGTTTCCCCGATAAGCACAGCGTGATGCTCACAGTAGTGCAATAATCTTTGCATTTTCATTTCGAAAACTCACCACACGTCATTCAGACACAGGGCCGGGCATGTTCGGTGTAAAATTACAGTTTTGGTTTTGAAAAAAAATAGTATGAGTTTACATATTCACCTTAACTTGGTGATGCATATACTCTGGTTTCTACTACCCCTCCCCACCATATTCAAGTAGAAACGTTTTTATGAGCTCCATTTTTATTTTTGACGATTTTGAACTGTTCGCACTCGCTTTGTCAGTAGATAATAGCGATGCCAATTACAATACGAATGGTGGAATCAAAGCATAGCGTTTTGATTTGGATTCGATACGAATATCCAGATTGTCTGCAGCATTCAGTGACAGGTGTATATTACAAAAATGGAAATTACATTTCGCTGTTTTGTAGCAGCAAATTTAGCAAAACGAAATCTCATTTGTAACCACACTACAAAATACAGCGATGTTTGTGTTGATCGTCTTTCGACCAACGTAGTCGTACGTTTTGGGGGTCAGTTTCATATAAAATTGTGAATTTTTATTAAATATTTAATAAGTATGTTACATAGCAATCCACTGATCACTGAGTTATACATTTTATTGTGCCAAAAGAAAAATGAAGGCACACGTCCGCAACTTTTAGGAGTACAAGCAAATCGTGTAGCCGGACCGTGACATGCGTGAGATGCTAGCATACGGAGTTAACACCTCCGGTTGAAATGATAACAGCTGTCTACAAAGTACTAGTAAACAACTACACGGATCATGTAAATTACATTTCCCTCGACGCATTGGTGCAATTACTGAGCCGCGGTTTAAAATAAAATGCACACGTTACGTGCAAGGTGACAAATCATTGATACACTCAATAACACTGGTCATATGTAATGTCGATGTGATGCAGAGTATTCACCAATTTTAAAACTTCAAAAATATTCGTCCAAATTAAAAATAACTTACTGGACAAAATGAAAAATGACGTGTTGATGCGTATACGCAGTCAATTTGTTTCCGTGATCAACAAAACAAAACTTGCGTTAATAGTTCCATTATATGAAATTGTACTTCAAGATATTAAAAGATACAGAAAAACAAATTAAAAAGTAGGTTACTTAAGGTGAAGCGGAGAAAAAATGATATCACGGAAAATTCTAGAAAATGGTACAACGTATGAGAAGCAATGTATTAATGTGAATATGCGATAAGTTGGTACTATAATTGACAGCTGTTAAAACAAATCATTGGAAATGTTATTGTATAACTATTGTTTATAATGAGTTGACAATGGTAACCGTTAAATATTTATTATTAATAAATAATATGTTAACATTTCATGATTATGTTTTATAGTATTACTGAGCAGTTGACATGGGATGATTTAATCGTTAGCCCCAATCGTTAAAAACTGCATTGAAACAAATAGAAGATAAGTTTGGAATTATATTGTGTTGCTCAACTTTAACTTGAAATCATTGTCAAATGTAGTACTAACTCGATTTTTTCTTTTCTTTTCGTTACAGGTGTAACCCTGTGTTGCAATTTTTCATTTTTTCTCCTAACTATCATACTAGTCGTGTCTGGACAAAATGTTTTCCCGACTGTTTTTACTGATTTGCCGCTACAGCTAAAATACGACAACCAATGGTTACGGTTCATGGCATGGCAGGCCAGGGACAATAATTTCACGAGATATGTCCATACTGTCGACAGTTTGGGTTATTCCGCCGGTATTCGTTCAACTTTGTACCAAGGAATAATCATCGTCTACGAATTGCCGGGTGGTAATGTGCTGAGCAAGACGAGTTTAGAAGCAATTCGTGACTTGGAAAACGAACTGACTGCTAAACCTGGTTATGTCGATTATTGTCAACTCAACAGGCTTGGCAATTGCATTAAACCGATATCAATCGTTCGCTTCTTCGACGGTACATACGCAGCGCAGCACCCGGTGTTCAACGATACGAATTTCCAAAACATCCCTGCGGTGTTAGCGGCAGCAAATTCGGTGCCTAAACTTCGTAACATGCTCCAGTTTCACCTTGGAAAAGACTCGGTGATCGACGAGGTCAATAGCATCGCGATGTCTTCCTTAACTCGGTCCATCATCCCACATGGCTTGCCATTAGAAAATATGTCCGATGAAAAAGAAATGACCAAAATTGTAGACAACTTCATCACATCCACATACGAATCACGCCTACAAGAACTGAACAGGAACGGCTATGGCGGCTTGCGGATATTCTATAACTCACGATTACTTTGGCAGAATGCAGTTAACAAACAAGTAGAAAAGGATCTAGTTTTAGTGGCAGGAAGCATCGCTTTTATATTTGGTTTCATCTGGTTCCAAACTAATTCCCTTTGGATAACAGGATTTGCAGTTCTCGGCATCATTACGTCCTTTTTCTGTGCTAATCTAATCTACCGGTACGTGTTCGATTTTCACTTTTTTGGCGTATTTCACATTTTAGCTATCTTCATTATCCTCGGCATCGGGGCTGATGATCTGTTCGTTTTTATGGACACGTGGCGAGCTACGGAATTTGTGGAATACCCAGGCCTAGAATACAGGCTTTCTGATGCCTACAGACGAGCTACGGGATCCATGTTGGTGACGTCACTTACTACATCTATTGCTTTCTTCGTGAACGCAGTGTCCCCTCTTCTCGGCGTTAGTACATTCGGGATATTCGCGGGAATCCTCGTACTTGTCAACTATATCACCGTGATCATATTTTTTCCAACAGTAGTGATCACCTACCATCTGTTTTGGCGCGATTTCCTTTGGTGCTGTCACAGGCCCTGCATAAAACGCCCAGTAACCAATGAGAGTATGGAAGTCCTGAATGAGCAACGAAATAAACAAAAAAACATCGTTGTAAGATTCTTCGTTGGACGTTACTACAGATTCGTAACACATAAAGTGAGTCGCTGGAACATAATTCTCAGTTTCGCCGTTTTAGTGGCCGGGTTTGGTTATTCTGCATCTCTGCTTGGACCACAAGAAGAAGGGGTAAGATAATAAATGACGAGGAGCAAATATTCTTATAAACATAAAGTAAATTTTTAACCTCGGAGGCATTTTTTGTGTGTCGTGTGGTTCAAGTCTATTTGCATGTTTCGTTATTACGCATTCCTGTAACATATATATATTATCCAATATCATTATTTGGATGTAAAACAGAATAACAATTATTGTGATTGGCAGATGAATTAGTGTTGTTACCACCCGGATGTTTCCAATTACTTTATCACAATTTCTAGTATTTCCCGGATTAAAGTTACTTTAACTGCGTCAGATTTCTGTCGACTTTTCATTAATTTCAATTACTTTACGCTCTGACAGGTTCAAATTTTCAAAGATGGTAGCAACTTCATAGAATTTGCGAATAGGCGCAGAGACTCTTTCAAACCAAGCATGAATGATCGTGTGTCTAATGTGAATATAATCTGGGGATTGAAAAACCAAGATTTATCCAGATGCCACCACACCGATTACGAATGTCCTGGAGACACAATTTGGGACGATAGTTTCGATCTAAATCCACTACCTGCCCAAGCTGCATTGTTGGTAAGTTCGGTAAACGAGACCGATTTTACCTTTTTGGTAAACTGTACTGGTTTCATGCAAGTGTTACTTCAAATAGAACATATTAATTTATCATTTTAGAAACTGTTTTATAAATGTTTAAATTAGTCCATAATTTACATATTTGATTTTTCATATATCCGCAATTATAACTAAATTATTATCTAAAATCAATGCATGACATAGCGCATCACTTTTTCTGATTACGTACATTTATTTCAAGTCCGTTTTTACATATAAATGATATTTGCATTACTGTAACAGAAGTTTTGTGACCGACTTCAAGGGCTGACTGACAAGGAAATCGATGATCTTCACGTACGTCGTGATCTTGTGACTGGTCGTCCCCAGGTCAAGTGTTTTATTGAAAACATGGATACATTCTACAAGGTGAGACATCTGAGCATACAGGTTCCGTAAGAACGGGTTCAGTATTAGTATAATATTTGTATTTGTGATACATACCTTAGCCAAAAAATTAGTTACCAGTCGATGTTGATGATTTTTGCCGACTTTTGATGATTACAACGATTTTCACCATCTCAAATTTGAAATAATTACCAAAACGTGAACTTTTTAATAACAAATCATTGTTAATGACATAATTCCCGTCATGTTTTTAGTGACTTTAATTAAGTATTTTAGGTGATTGGAGGAGTCAGGCGGTAAATAGTGCAAATCCATTATAAGAGCACATTGGATTGTAGGAAAATCAATGTTTATCAACACAAATATAGAACATGCGCGGCGCGACGACTGCCGCCCTTTAAGGTGGAATTGTACTTTCAGTTTCACAACTTTATGATATTCGATTGTGATACAGTTAACATTTCACTTTAATTAACGGCATACGTAACTCTAAGTGCGATTATGGTTTCTCCGTCTCAGAATATAACACGTGTCAATGGCTCAACCGTGAACTGGAGTTTGCCGACCAGTGAAACCAAGATACGCTCACTGATGGACGCAAATCCTAGCATCTTTAATACGTCCCAGCTACATAACACATATTATCGATACTTTGAGACTGGACTTGGTTTCTGGCTCACACGCGGATACACAGGAAGAGCTAACCCTGATAATGAGGCTTTCCAAAATTACATTGGGGAACAAGAGGACCCAATGGACACGCTGAGCACATTGACTGGGAATGGTAAGTATGTGAACTGAAAATCATCAATTCAAGGGAAAGTACTAATCAGAATGTTTGCTCAATAATTCAGATGTCCGCCATTTAACTTTGGAAATGTGATTTTTTGAGTTACTGATGAAATATATAGTGTACATTCATTTTTTGCGTGTAATTTTGTGTAATTATTTGGCCGGCAGTATATGAAATACACACAGCTTAAACACATGTAGCTTGTAATACTTATTATCACATTACATAGTTTGTCCATTTTTTCAGACAAATACGGAACTCGATTACGCTATGCTGCAATATCCGTGACGACAACGTTAATGTTCGGGAGTATTGGTTACAACGACGGAATTCCTATTATCGATGCTTGGGAACGTTTTATTAACACCGAGGTAAATATAATATACTTTATAAATCATCTGTAATTCATGTTGTAGTTATCGTCGGTTCACCTGTAGGATTTCCCACCATTGCGCACGAAGTCCAAACGTTGTGTGTGATAAATCGTTCGTAAATTGAAGATGTGTGTACACGACCAGTTGTTAATAACAAAATCGGCAAGACATAAGACTATGTTTACGTCATCAACATAGATCAAATTAGCTGAGGCATTCATTCATTATTTAGTCAGATACTAGTATAGA